TGCTCACTCTCCCCCTCTCTCATGCTCACTCCCTCCCCCCCTCTCATGCTCACATCCCCCCCCCTCTCATGCTCACTCCCCCTCTCTCATGCTCACTCCCCCTCTCTCATGCTCATGCTCACTCCCCCTCTCTCATGCTCACTCCCCCCTCTCATGCTCACTCCCCCTCTCTCATGCTCACTCTCCCCCTCTCATGCTCACTCCCCCCTCTCTCATGCTCACTCCCCCTCTCTCATGCTCACTCACTCCCCCTCTCTCATGCTCACTATCTCACTCTCCTCTCTCTCATGCTCACTCTCCCTCTCTCATGCTCACTCCCCCTCTCTCATGCTCACTCTCCATCTTTCATGCTCACTCCCCCTCTCTCATGCTCACTCTCCCTCTCTCATGCTCACTCTCTCTCTCTCATGCTCACTCTCCCTCTCTCATGCTCACTCCCCCTCTCTCATGCTCACTCTCCGTCTCTCATGCTCACTCCCCCTCTCTCATGCTCACTCTCCCTCTCTCATGCTCACCCCCCCTCTCTCATGCTCACTCTCCCCTCTCCCTCTCTCATGCTCACTCCCCCCCTCTCATGCTCACTCTCCCTCACTCCCCCTCTCTCATGCTCACTCCCCCTCTCTCATGCTCACTCTCCCTCTCTCATGCTCACTTCCCCCCCCTCTCATGCTCACTCACCCCCCCTCTCATGCTCACTCCCCCTCTCTCATGCTCACTCCCCCTCTCTCATGCTCACTCAGGCCCCCCTCTCTCATGCTCACTCCCCCTCTCTCATGCTCACTCCCCCTCTCTCATGCTCACTTCCCCTCTCTCATGCTCACTCCCCCCCTCTCATGCTCACTCCCCCTCTCTCATGCTCACTCCCCCTCTTTCATGCTCACTCCCCCTCTCTCATGCTCACTCCCCCTCTCTCATGCTCACTCTCCCCCCTCTCATGCTCACTCCCCCTCTCTCATGCTCACTCCCCCTCTCTCATGCTCACTCCCCCCCCTCTCTCACGCTCACTCCCCCCTCTCATGCTCACTCCCCCCCTCTCATGCTCACTCCCCTCTCTCATGCTCACTCCCCCTCTCTCATGCTCACTCCCCCTCTCTCATGCTCACTCCTCCCTCCCTCACTCCCCCTCTCTCATGCTCACTCCTTCCCCTCTCTCATGCTCACTCCCCCCTCTCTCATGCTCACTCCCCCCCTCTCTCATGCTCACTCCCCCTCTCTCATGCTCACTCCCCCTCTCTCATGCTCACTCCCCCCCCTCTCATGCTCACTCCCCCTCTCTCATGCTCACTCTCCCCTCTCATGCTCACTCCCCCCTCTCTCATGCTCACTCTCCCCCCTCTCATGCTCACTCCCCCCTCTCATGCTCACTCCCCCTCTCTCATGCTCACTCCCCCTCTCTCATGCTCACTCATACCCCCTCTCTCATGCTCACTCCCCCCTCTCTCATGCTCACTCCCCCTCTCTCATGCTCACTCCCCCTCTCTCATGCTCACTCCCCTCTCTCATGCTCACTCCCCCTCTCTCATGCTCACTCCCCCCCTCTCATGCTCACTCCCCCTCTCTCATGCTCACTCCCCCTCTCTCATGCTCACTCCCCCTCTCTCATGCTCACTCCCCCTCTCTCATGCTCACTCCCCCTCTCTCATGCTCACTCCCCCTCTCTCATGCTCACTCCCCCTCTCTCATGCTCACTCCCCCTCTCTCATGCTCACTCCCCCCCTCTCATGCTCACTCCCCCTCTCTCATGCTCACTCCCCCTCTCTCATGCTCACTCCCCCCCTCTCTCATGCTCACACATCCCCCTCTCTCATGCTCACTCCCCCTCTCTCATGCTCACTCCCCCTCTCTCATGCTCACTCCCCCCTCTCTCATGCTCACTCCCCCCCTCTCATGCTCACTCCCCCCCCTCATGCTCACTCCCCCTCTCTCATGCTCACCTCCCCCCTCTCTCTCATGCTCACGCTCCCCCCTCTCTCATGCTCACTCCCCCCCTCTCATGCTCACTCCCCCTCTCTCATGCTCACTCCCCTCTCTCATGCTCACTCCCCCTCTCTCATGCTCACTCACTCCCCCTCTCTCATGCTCACTCTCCCCTCTCTCATGCTCACTCCCCCTCTCTCATGCTCACTCCCCCTCTCTCATGCTCACTCCCCCTCTCTCATGCTCACTCCCCCTCTCTCATGCTCACATCCCCCTCTCTCATGCTCACTCCCCCTCTCTCATGCTCACTCCCCCTCATCTCATGCTCACTCCCCCTCTCTCATGCTCACTCCCCCCTCTCTCATGCTCACTCCCCCCTCTCTCATGCTCACTCCCCCTCTCTCATGCTCACTCCCCCCCTCTCTCATGCTCACACTCCCTCACCCCCTCTCTCATGCTCACTCCCCCTCTCTCATGCTCACTCCCCCTCTCTCATGCTCACTCCCCCCCCTCTCTCTCATCTCTCATGCTCACTCCCCCTCTCTCATGCTCACTCCCCCCCCCCTCTCTCATGCTCACACTCCCCCTCTCTCATGCTCACTCCCCCTCTCTCATGCTCACTCCCCCCTCATCTCATGCTGCTCCCCCTCTCTCATGCTCACTCCCCCTCTCTCATGCTCACTCCCCCTCTCTCATGCTCACTCACTCCCCCCTCTCATGCTCACACCCCCTCTCTCTGCTCACTCCCCCTCTCTCATGCTCACACTCCCCCTCTCTCATGCTCACACCCCCTCTCTCATGCTCACTCCCCCTCTCTCATGCTCACTCCCCCTCTCTCATGCTCACACCCCCTCTCTCATGCTCACTCCCCCTCTCTCATGCTCCACACCCCCTCTCTCATGCTCACACCCCCTCTCTCATGCTCACTCCCCCCCTCTCATGCTCACTCCCCCTCTCTCATGCTCACACCCCATCTGTATAGCCACTAAAGATGTAGATGCCGTTTGCACTTATATTAGCCAATAAAGCAGGATAATGGTAAGGACAAATAAGGGCGTCATCCTGCATTCATTGATTACCTTCGCTGTTCCTTGTCATGTTTTCTAGAGATTTAATAACATCTTATCTTTAGGTTATCTTGAGATGACTTCGGGGCTTAGAGTCCCCGCGGCCCGGTCCTTGACCAGGCCTTCTTTTTGTTACACACCCCTAGGAAGCAGCCCGTAGCAGCTGTCTAACTCCTAGGTACCTATTTACTGCTAGGTAACAGGAGTATCAGGGCTCTGCCCATTTTATTCTGCCTCCACTGGGGATCGAACCCGGAACCTCAGTACTACGAATCCGAAGCGCTGTCCACTCAGCTGTCAGGCCCTGCATTGTTGACGTTAGCATTATAGGAGCATAAGGACATAATAATTAAGGAAACTCCGGAAGGCCTGTTGGATAATAAGAGGCAGATGCTATTTATACCCAATCCCAAACATTCATCTGTATGTCTAACCTACTCTTGAAACAATTAAGGGATTCCACATGTATCTTGTTACCCGGTATTTTGTGGCACATAAGAATCCTGCTTCAAAACCGACTATTACCCAGGTCTTTTCTAAATCTAAACTTACACAATTTATATTCATTGTTTTGTGTTGAAATATTAAATACCAAGTTAGTATCTGGCTTGTGTTGTCCATTCATCAACTTGTGCACAGCATCCCCCCCCCTCCCCAACTCCTCGCATTACTGGAGAATATAAATTAACCGTTCTCAGTATCTACATCTGGAAGGTTTATAATTTGTGGAATTTACTTTGTCATCCTTCGCTGAATATGTTCTAACGAATTTATGTCTAAGCTATAGAATAACGACCAAAATTTAATTGCATAATCTAGATTAGGCCTAACAAGAGCAAGATCCAGCGGAAGAATAACATTAAATATTTATTGCTAAAGCTTTTGAAATAACTCATTATCTAATTTACGTTATTCTTATTGTTAGCATTCAGTTTTTGGTCGTTATTCATACTAATAATGACACCCAGACATTATTCGTATTCGGACATTGCAATTTCAACGCTATCCCGCAGAAGTCTGGTAACTCTGTCATCATTACCCAGCCTCATAACCTTACATTTGTCAACGTTAAACTGCATCTGCCAATCTTCCATCTGTTTCTAGAGCAAGTAAAATCGTCTTGAAGTGATTCTGACTCGTCTTCTGAATTTATATCCCGGCCAATTCTTGCTTCGTGTGCAAATATTACTGCTGAATCCTGAATCTAAATCGTTTTATATATGTACTAGGAGGAGTACCTGACTGTGCCTGGGTACTCTTCCCCTTCCTCTTCTTCCATTTCCAAATCCCCCCCCCCCTCTCCCCTTTCTACCTACTCTCACCCTTCCCCTCCTCCCCTGTCTACTCTTCTCCCATCACTTTCTCTATCCACCTTTCTTCCCCTCTCCTAATAGGGTGAGAATAGCTTGAGCTACCTCATCCCTTTGTGTGTATTTTACCTCAATAAACTTATTTCAATTTCAATTTCCCCTCTCCTCCCTTCTCTACCTTTCTTTCCCTATCCATCTTTCTTCTTCTTTACTATCTCCAATTCTTTCTCTGATTTTTTTATAACGAATTACCGAAACTGCTACTTAAGTCTATGGATAACACCTCCAGGACTCCAGACTTGATTATGAAAATCGCAAGGGGTTGGGGGGGGGGGGAGAGGGGAAGAGTAGATACCGATATATCTTAGTGTGGCACTGGTGCCGACCCCGACTGACCTATGGCATTTCCATACCCTACCTGCTTTTTGTGTAATAGTTGGGAGATGCCCAGAGGGTCTGGCCTCCGATCTTGCATAGAAACCTGCAAACAGACATTATGTTTTATAGATGTAGATGGTAAATGCAGAGGCCTCAAGACAGAGTCCTGGGCTCCCCATCTTGTAACGCTTTCCACTCTGACTTCACTCCATTTAAAGACCGCCACTACATTAGCAACATCTAGGATTTCAGTACTCTGCCAGACTTTAAGGATTTATTTAATATGCAAGACAAGGGCTCACTAAGCTTTCTTTTTACATTCGTTAAGCACCCCGCGGGAACACTTTGATCAAGACCAGGGATCCCCGCGGGAACACGTTGGTAAAGACCAGGGATCCCCGCGGGAACACGTTGGTGAAGACCAGGGATCCCCGCGGGAACACGTTGGTGAAGACCAGGGATCCCCGCGGGAACACTTTGATCAAGACCAGGGATCCCCACGGGAACACGTTGGTAAAGACCAGGGATCCCCGCGGGAACACGTTGGTAAAGACCAGGGATCCCCACGGGAACACGTTGATAAAGACCAGGGATCCCCGCGGGAACACGTTGATAAAGACCAGGGATCCCCGCGGGAACACGTTGATAAAGACCAGGGATCCCCGCGGGAACACTTTGATCAAGACCAGGGATCCCCGCGGGAACACGCTGGTAAAGACCAGGGATCCCCACGGGAACACGTTGATAAAGACCAGGGATCCCCGCGGGAACACTTTGATCAAGACCAGGGATCCCCACGGGAACACGTTGGTAAAGACCAGGGATCCCCGCGGGAACACGTTGGTAAAGACCAGGGATCCCCACGGGAACACGTTGATAAAGACCAGGGATCCCCGCGGGAACACGTTGATAAAGACCAGGGATCCCCGCGGGAACACGTTGATAAAGACCAGGGATCCCCGCGGGAACACTTTGATCAAGACCAGGGATCCCCGCGGGAACACGCTGGTAAAGACCAGGGATCCCCACGGGAACACGTTGATAAAGACCAGGGATCCCCGCGGGAACACTTTGATCAAGACCAGGGATCCCCGCGGGAACACGTTGGTAAAGACCAGGGATCCCCACGGGAACACGTTGATAAAGACCAGGGATCCCCGCGGGAACACGTTGATAAAGACCAGGGATCCCCGCGGGAACACTTTGATCAAGACCAGGGATCCCCGCGGGAACACGTTGATAAAGACCAGGGATCCCCGCGGGAACACGTTGGTAAAGACCAGGGATCCCCGCGGGAACACTTTGATCAAGACCAGGGATCCCCACGGGAACACGTTGATAAAGACCAGGGATCCCCGCGGGAACACTTTGATAAAGACCAGGGATCCCCGCGGGAACACTTTGATCAAGACCAGGGATCCCCGCGGGAACACGTTGGTGAAGACCAGGGATCCCCGCGGGAACACGTTGGTGAAGACCAGGGATCCCCGCGGGAACACGTTGGTGAAGACCAGGGATCCCCGCGGGAACACTTTGATCAAGACCAGGGATCCCCGCGGGAACACGTTGGTGAAGACCAGGGATCCCCGTGGGAACACGTTGATAAAGACCAGGGATCCCCGCGGGAACACGTTGAAGACCAGGGATCCCCGTGGGAACACGTTGGTGAAGACCAGGGATCCCCGCGGGAACACGTTGGTGAAGACCAGGGATCCCCGCGGGAACACGTTGGTGAAGACTAGGGATCCCCGTGGGAACACGTTGGTGAAGACCAGGGATCCCCGCGGGAACACGTTGGTGAAGACTAGGGATCCCCGTGGGAACACGTTGGTGAAGACCAGGGATCCCCGCGGGAACACACACGTGTGAGGCCTTGAACACACCTGCCTCTACTTGTCCCTCCCAAGAGGAAAGCACAAATAATAATCACCGACACCTGCACAAGTGTCAGAATCACTCGCGAGTTACCGGGTAAAGCCTCACACTCTTGGAGAAGATGTGAGTTGAGCATAGTTTACACAAGTCAGCATTCCTGTAGTCTTGCTCACACCTGTCGCTGATGACCTTGGAACTCCTCTCCTTGTAGCAGGTATGTGTAGATGAACTCCAACTGGACCTTATTCAACTTGTTATATATGAACTAACCAATGCAAAGGGCACTGTAAATTATCTCTCTCTGCTAACAGACCCGCAAAGGGCAGAAAAGAATAAGATATTAACAGAGCAAGAACATTTAATTACCAAAAACATAAGAATACACAAAGAAGGGTTGTGTAGCTGAATGCAGATATTGTCTCTCTTCGGTATGTAATCCTTTTGCTTGTCTACGATCACCACAAGGAAAGTCTTTCACAAAATAAGTGTTCACAAAAATAAGTCACTGGTCACATCAATTTCCACTTTACGGTTATTATAATTCATTTAATGGACATTTAACATATCAGCATAATTAGAAGCCTCATTTCTTTACTTAACTAATTATTACACAAAGAAATCACATTACAATCAAATCACTTTAACGCAATGTATCAATGAAAAAAACAGTAGGAGCTATGAGGTGGATTTAAACCTATGCTCTGGATACTTCCAAGCAAATGCCTTAGACCATTACACCCCAACATGGTAAAAGCAAAGCAATCTGGGATGCAAATGTCTCCTCTAGGATTCCTGAAGTTTACACTGAAGCCTTACCAGGGTTCCACACGTCGGCAACCCCCCCCCCCCCCCCCCACACACACATGCACCCTGGCCTTGTAGATTCTGAATTCCACCTCCTACACTTCTCTTCAGACGCACACAGAAATAACATCAACGTGATGTATCACTGAGAAAACTATTGACACATCATGCTAATGTGATGCTTGTGCAAAGAATGTAATGCGTGTCAGCTGGTTTGACTCCCTGATGATTTAAATGTTTCGTTGTGCCACCAAGACCAGACACATGGAGGTCTGATGGAACCGTTTCCACGACGACGGTGAACACACTTCTAATGTTCCTGTCAAAATGAAAATAAAGTTTGACCACGTGGTAGGAGCGAGGTCCGCTATTTGTCAGGAATCATAATATGTTCAGGGTGACCTGCATCACTGGTTCTAGTTGGAATTGGTCTTCCACTCTTTTGGTGATAAATGTTTTCTGCGACTTTCATCAGGTGGTTTTCTTGCCTAGAGTTTCTTCCTTCCTTGGCTGAGAGTTAGTATGGCTGTTGCAAGAGTCGCTGCAGTGTCAGTTTGAGCTAACATGGCTTATATACTGCTTTCTACTGCACACGACTTGACTGCTGTTGTGGATTAGCTCCCGTAACCTTTTAGTCATAGCTCAGACCTCTCAGTTCTGTGACTAGTCTGGAGACATACCTCTAAATCTTCTCTAACTTTGTCTGGTGTTTAACTAAGTTGGACTCGATACTGGAGCTGCATACTCCAGGATTGGTCTGGCATAAGTGGTATACAAGGTCCTGAACGATTCCTTACACACGTTTCTACAGGCAGTTCTTATGTTGGTCAATCTAGCATATGCCGCTGATAATATCCTTTTGATGTGGGCTTTAGGGAACAGGTTCGGTGTGAGATCAACCTCATATTTTTTTCTAATTTAACTCTTCCTGCATTTCACCTCCCAGATGGTACCAGAATTTCTAGACCATTTCTCCAGGTTATCCAGGTCGTCCTGTAGTCTCTGTCTATCTTTATATGACTTGATTCTTCTCATAATTTTGGAGTCATCAGCAAACATTGAGAGGAGTGAGTCTATACCGTCTGGAAGATCGTTTACATTTCTTCGTGTACATACATACCTTTACTTACCTTCCTTTAATGTAAAGGTTGTTGATCTGTGAAACCAATTACCGTGTAACATAATAGAAGTGGGGTCCCCTTGATTGTTTCAAGCGTAGGTTAGACATATATATGAATGAGATTGGGTAGATAAAAATAGGAGCTGCCCCGTATGAGCCAATAGGCCTTCTAAAGTTACCTTAATTCTTATGTTCTTTTGTTCATATATGAGAAACAGCATGGGTCCAAGTGCATTCGTGGGATTCTGATGTCTTCCTCATGATAGTTACTCGCTGTTTCCTGTTGCTTAGATACTCCCTTATCCACTGGAGCACCTTACCTTTTATTCTTTCCTGTTTCTTCAACTTTTGTCACAACCTACTATGGGGGTACTATGTCAAAGGCTTTCTGCCAGTCTAAGAAAATACACCTAAGAAAATACAGTCTGCCGCCCTTCTATTTCTTGCCTAATTTTTGTCGCCTTGTCATATAATTCTATTACACATCTGAGGCACGCTGTATCATCCCTAAAGCCATGCTGGGTGTTGTGTTATATAGCTCCTTCCCTCCAAATGCTCTTCGAGTCTTTTTCACACAATCTTCTCCGTCACCTTGCATGGTATAGAAGTTTGGAAAACTGGCCTGTAGTTCAGTGCCTCTTGCCTGTCACCCTTTTTGTATATTAGGACTACGTTAGCTGTCTTCCAGCTTTCCGGTAGGTCTCCTTTTTCCAGTGACCTGTTATACACCATAGAGAGTGGCACACTTAGTGCTTGTGGTGTGGTTGGTGAGGAGGAGTGTGTGGTGGGGAGAGAAGTGGTGTGGTGGGGAGAGAAGTTGTGTGGTGGGGAGAGAAGTGGTGTGGAGGGGAGAGAAGCGGTGTGGTGGGGAGAGAAGCGGTGTGGTGGGGAGAGAAGCGGTGTGGTGGGGAGAGAAGTGGTGTGGTGGGGAGAGAAGCGGTGTGGTGGGGAGAGAAGCAGTGTGGTGGGGAGAGAAGCGGTGTGGTGGGGAGAGAAGCGGTGTGGTGGGGAGAGAAATGGTGTGGTGGGGAGAGAAGCGGTGTGGTGGGGAGAGAAGTGGTGTGGTGGGGAGAGAAATGGTGTGGTGGGGAGAAAAGTGGTGTGGTGGGGAGAGAAATGGTGCGGTGGGGAGAGAAGCGTTGTGGTGGGGAGAGAAGTGGTGTGGTGGGGAGAGAAATGGTGTGGTGGGGAGAGAAGTGGTGTGGTGGGGAGAGAAATGGTGTGGTGGGGAGAGAAGCGTTGTGGTGGGGAGAGAAGCGTTGTGGTGGGGAGAGAAGCGGTGTGGTGGGGAGAGAAATGGTGTGGTGGGGAGAGAAGCGTTGTGGTGGGGAGAGAAGCGTTGTGGTGGGGAGAGAAGCGGTGTGGTGGGGAGAGAAATGGTGTGGTGGGGAGAGAAGTGGTGTGGTGGGGAGAGAAGTGGTGTGGTGGGGAGAGAAATGGTGTGGTGGGGAGAGAAGTGGTGTGGTGGGGAGAGAAATGGTGTGGTGGGGAGAGAAGCGGTGTGGTGGGGAGAGAAATGGTGTGGTGGGGAGAGAAGTGGTGTGGTGGGGAGAGAAATGGTGTGGTGGGGAGAGAAGTGGTGTGGTGGGGAGAGAAGTGGTGTGGGTGAGGGAGCAGCGGTGTGCTTAGAAGAGAAGTGACTGGTGCGGGGAGGAGTTTTTTGTTATTTTGTTATTATTATTTTCTACCACGAACGTGGCCACACATTTACAATGCTTACCAACATTTATACATATTCTTCTGTCCTCCATGGACAGGGTGAGAGATCTGTTAAATATATAGTTCAGGGATTTATTGAACAATCAACCACAGACGATGATTGTAGTGCTTTTAAAATGCTAATCTAACCTGCAGACATAATGCAACCCGTTCTCGCAAATTCGTATGATCAATATTGACTTATTAACTACGTGCATAGGTGATATACTAAACATAATAGATACCCTTATAAAGCTTCATAGAAAACACCGACCTTACCTAACCTTGTTAGTATCTTAAGATAAGTATCTTATTGCTTCGTAATTACAATTATTACTTAACCTGTACCTATAATAGGTTAAGTAACAATTGTAATTACGAAGCTATAAGATGCTTATCTTAAGATACTAGCAAGGTTAGGTAAGGTCGGTGTTTTCTATGAAGCTTTTTAAGGGTATCTATTATGTTTAGTATGTCACCTATGCACTTATTTAATAAGTCAATATTGACTTTACGAATTTGCGAGAACGGGTTGCATAAACACAGAGATACACAGATTTACGTGTGCTCCACTTAAACAGTGTTCGATGTGTCTTTTACATGCTGTCATTGATGTGCATTTACAATGGTGAAATGATATATATATATATATATATATATATATATATATATATATATATATATATATATATATATATATATATATATATATATATATATATATATATATTGGTGTATACTGGCAGCAGGTTTTCTTTCAAACATGTTTCATTGAATATGACCGCATATTCTGTATTTATTATTTTCTGGTTTAGGGCTTCTATCCCTCTAACTATTTTCTTAGCATCAGGGCTTAATTGAAATAGGAGTTCTCCAAAACTCATTTTCGTACTTTTAAGGTGAAGAAAAGAAGTGATTTACTATAGAGTGTATTACACTTATTTGTATAATTTGCACGACGTTTCGAACCTCCATGGTTCATTCTCAAGTGAACAGATCTTACAATACTAGTTGATTTTATACCCGCATTAGGTCAGGTGATAATACAATGAAGGTGAAAACATGGGGGGATACATAAGGGATAAACATAGGGGCTGCAGAAGGCTTATTGGCCCATACGAGGCATCTGCTATCTAAACACAAAGATTAATCCAGTGTAATTGGCCTGTTATGTTGGACATTGTCTTCTGTGTTGGCATCGATATGTTCTTGTCTTGTCCTTACTCTCATGGTGGGTAGAGTAAA